AATTTCTCAAAAAAGTAGCAATCGAAACAAGGTTATTTACATGTGAAAAGGTAAATTACATAGAAGGTTAGGTATAAATAATGTGTTACCATAATCAATAAGATGAGGATTTTTCTAACGGGAGTACCCATTAACATACCTAAATTTCGCTCAACTTATCATGTATATATATACACACATACACACACTAACAATTCTTGTCCTCTATTACATTTATACACTTGTTTTTTCAAAATCTAATATCTGAAATACATCATAACGAGTGCCATTATGCACTTGTTCGACGGACCTATGAGACAATGATCCACCAATGCAAACACAAAATTTGTGTTATAGGGGCACAATATTATTATTATGTTTTAGTTTTGAATTCTTGTTGGCAAAGCACAAGTTCATACGTGTAATTGTTTGCATGGCTTGTCGGGGAAGTTTCGACATCCCGTCAAAAGCAACTAAAACACAGCATGCATTTATGTATTCAACTGGAAATTGTTGCCACTGTTCACATAATCTTTAATCATATTCATAAGACTGAACATTCATCCGCAACCTTATGCTGGTTACTATCACAGAAAAGGGTTAATTGTAAATTGCAACGTAACCATTTTTACCTCAAGCACCCCCCAAAAAAAAAATCTTACCGAATGGTTTTGGATACTCCGCAACACTTCGGTGATACTTTATCTTTTTCATTGATGGTGTATCATGGGCTCTTACTATTATTATTATTTTTTTTTTGATCTATCGTATGATTTTAGTAACAAGTAAATGAGGAGACACATGTCATGCATGTATTTAAAAAAGAGCATCTAAACTTTGGAAAGCATATGAGATGTATTTGGTGCATTACACTTCAACACTAGCACTAAAACCAACCATGTATGACAAATTAATCATCATATTAGGCCACACCTAAAACTAATGGCTGATGTTTTTCTAATTGGATATCTGTTAATACACCTTAACACATTATTATGTTTTTAATTAATTTTATTTTTCAAAAAATTTAACATTTTGACGTGCACTTGAATACTCGTTAGTCAGATCTATTATAGATAATGGCAACGGACGATACCTTATGTAATTTTATATATACCCGCCATAATTATTTAGTGTTTGGCAAATGCTCAAGTAGGATTGATTTTCAAATAGACTCGTAGACCAAGCGTCCGTCAGCATTTTTTTGGTGTATTTTCAGGACCTACAAAATACCCTTTGTTCACATATTTCATTTTATAATTTTCTTTTGTCACATGTATGTATTCAACACACTTTCAACATCCACTGGTGTTGACGCATACATGAAACTCTCGTCAAAAAGGCCAAGAAACTTTTTTCTCTTCGAAATTGACTGAGCAGCAGTAGTGGCAAAAACCAAAAACCTTCGCCTCTAAAGCAACAATGCCAACGTAACCGAAATCATGACGTTCGGTTCTTAGAACCCTTGTCATGTTTTCGTACCCTTCTCCGCACATCACTCCTCACTTTTCACTAAAATTCTGGCAGTAGCTGTTGCACTTTGTTTTACGTCCCATCCTAATCCTGCTAGCCGAAATGCTCTTCCGGATTATTGAGTTTTGTAACTCCTCCAATTTCGCTTTTTAATCTTGTTTATCCATTTTCCGTTGAACCCTCTCTTTATTTTGACAATCCCATCATCTCAAAGGTGAGTCTCTTTTCAGTTTTCTCTGTTAAAGTTCATGCCTGTTTTCGTTTTCATTCTTTTCTTGATGAAATTTTGTCTACGCGTACCAAATTTGGGTCCTGATGTGTGCTGAGTACTTGGATGTCTATCAAATTAAGTACATTCGTTGGGATGCTTAATCTATTGATTAATGTGGTGGGATTAAAATTATTGACTTGATTATTTTATCTTGTTGCTCAATCATCAGTTCTGTCTTTCATGCGGGTCTTTGAAAACAAGAAACATATATATGGTGAGTTTGGATGTCTCTGTTGATAGCAATGCATGCATCTTATTAGACTATGAATCATGTGGGAAGTTTTTTTTTTTCTTTTTTTTTTAAAACTATGAATTATATATGTTATTCTTTGGTAATAGGATACAAGGAGTCGGACAATTTGGGGGTGTAAAAGAACTGTGGTCGTTGACAGTCTCTCCACATAATAAGTGTTGGAAGTTAAATCACATGACTGCTCATTCGTAGGTTATTTGGATGGGGTGTGGCCATTTCAATGGTTGAGTTGAGATCAATAAACTAAAATGCCTCTGGGGAAAGATTTTGATTTTTAAGTTTCTGCTGTCTTCGGCTTTCCACTTGTCATTAATGACAAGAAATATTTGGACTTATGGTCAAACTGATTCTATCTAGTAAATTACAGTTTTGCATCCACGCCCTGTTTTATATGCTCTACAGAATTCATACTTGTTAACTATTATGTTTAGAGCTTGTGTATTCTTCAGGTTGCAGTATACTTAGTGACACTCCGATATCCCATGAGGCGTTTGTAGCGTAAATGTGCTTTAAGCTAGTGATAGGTATGTTGAATAACAAGTATGAATTCTGTGCCTACGTTAAAGTTCTTCCTTCTAATAGTAGATTCGGTGCCTCATTATGTCTTCCCATAATTTGTCTTCATTCGTGCTCCAAATACATTTGAAAGAACTTCTTATATACAGACAAACTGTTTGAATTTCTCATCATAAAACTTTAGCGTGACAATGCACATGCATCTGTCAACATTGAAAAGCCTGCTTCTAAGTTCTAATCTCTGTTACTCCATTTTCTTCACAACAAGTGTCGATTAAGTAGCTGATCAAGTTGCCATTCTCGAATCAAAAGTCAAAGTTTCTAAAATATACATTCGATGGCTGAAATGGTTCAAAGCAAACGGTTAATGGAACCCCTGTAGTGAGGCATTTCATCTCATTGTGAGAATCCAACGGTCCCTAGTTATATTTCCTTTAGATTTGACTGTAAATATCGCAACCTTTGGATTTGACTGTATTTATCGCAATGTCTCATCTATTGATCATCACTTCTTCCTGCTAGCAACACAATGGCATGGGAAGTTTATTGAGGCTGTTCATGTCTCTTACAAGTGAGGATGATATCAAGTAATACTTATATGCCCTGTTTGTTGGCAACAAATCTTTCTTGGAAAATGGATCTATTTTACCATCTTGATTATGTATATTATAAGTTTTTTTTTTTTTGGTAAAGTGGGGGTTATAAAGATTACATTATGGTATTCAAAGTCATAATTCCTAGATTTTGGTTTTAAAGTTGGTGAAAAGACTGGTATGACCTGTAATTTCAGTTATCTCACCCTCACATTCTCTTCCCTCTTTAGTTGTCACATTAAACCTTGCTAACACACACTACCAAATGTTTTTACTTTCACTATTCTCTCTCTAGTTTTATCTGTTATGCCCTTCTCATGTACCTGACTTCAAATATCTTGTTTACATTAATGACAATAAGTATTTGAAATTGATGGTTATAAGCAACACAGACGCAATATACATATTGATTGCATTCATTTTACTTTATATAATTAATGTTGGTCCCTTGGTTGCTTGATAAATTGTAGTTGTGTTTGGTGATTTATTTAATATGAGGATATCTAGTGCATTTCTAGATATTGTTCAATAAACGTGTATTCCATAAAAGTTGTAATCGCACATACAATGTCCATATTTTAAATGTGCATGTTACTTATGTGTGTTATACTCAGACTCATGACAAAGAAGGAATTTGATAACCTCATAGAGGGTTTCTTTCAGTTGCTACTCGGAAAGAGACTTCCAAGACTAACTGTGGCTTTGAAATCTTACCAGGATTTAATTTTGCAGATTTTATGTGCAGTTATTCTCCAAATCATTGGGTACTCTTATAAATTGGAGTCAGATTTTTTTGCTTTTGGACTTTTACTTAAGTCTCCTCAGAAACCAAACAGTGTTGAAAAGGTAAGTAACATGGCTTATGTTTTATGCCCTCTTGTAAGCGTATAGACATCATTAACTCTATATCTACTTTATGTCTTTGCAAAGCAGCATATCTCTAAGTTCTAAAAGGTTAACCTGGTTCCAAATAATAAAATGCCAGAATGTCTCTTCTTTTCAGTGATCTATCACTTCATCAAGTCTTCATGCTTTTTTTCCCCCAAGATAATAAATTTTTTGGTGCCATGAATTTGGTATCAACTATTATTTTAAAAGGCCTATTCCTGAGGTGCAGCAAGTCACAAGTACCTTGAAGTGTTTGGGATAGGCAAGCAGTGCTGATGTCTCTGGGTGATAGGCATGAGATTGCCTTGAACTGTGAGGCACACCTCTGCTTATGCCCCAAACACCTGGAACAGAATGAGAAACCAAAGAGAAGGGGGCTTGTCAGGGAGGAGCAGATGAAATATACACAATAAAGGAAAATCAAAGGACATGCTCATCTTCTATAACTGCTGAATTAACTAATCTGATTTCATTCTAATTTAATGTTACTAGTTTCCTTCAGTCCAGCAGGGTGAAGAGGTGTGGCGTGGCGTGGAGGTGAGTAGGGAAGAGTGTTGCTGTTGAGAGAGAGATGAGGCCAAGTGGTTGAAAGGGGGTTAATGTGCCACATAACATATTGGTGGGATACAGAGATGAGGTTTGAAATGGGAAGCTTTTCACAACCAAAGCCTTACTTTCTGTTTAACTTTTAAGGTCTCACCGATATTTAATTTATTTTTTGTTAGTTTATCTTTTCTTAGTTCCATCTAAGGTGAAGAAAATTTTATGTTCCTTTAATGCTTCATCATACAGTTCTTTGCCTATATTGCATCTTAGATCTATAATTCTTTCTTATAATGTTTCTTAGCATGTCAATTTTTCTTCACTGTTAAATAAACAAAAAATTTTACAGTGTCGTGGGACCTACATCCATGTCTGTGGCTTTAATGTCACTGTGCCTCATGGAATATGCCTCAGACAGACACAGTGCCTCTGCCTTCAAAACACTGTTTCAACTAGCAAATCGCCACATTTCAGCTATGAGCATATGGTCATACTACTTGAACATTTTCTCACTTGCAATTTAGAAAAGCTTTATGGAATGATTTATCTTCATCAAAATGAGAAATTACATCAATGTGCGATTTTGTTCAGAATTTGCAGATTTTCTTGGCATACACATCAAGGTATTAATGGATTCAGTCGGTCATAAATCAGATGATGAGTATTCTGTAATTTGGGACAAAGGAGACATCGGTTTTATCGACTTGGACAACTGTAAATCTGTTTGTAGCTATAACCCTGCTGAAGAAAGTGATCTAGTTACTATTTCTGTTCCATTCCCATTAGTCGAAGGGAAGCCTCAATCAGGATTGGTAGGAGAGACTATTGTTGATTCGATCACAATTGAAAACAAAACTAGTGCCCCTGTTGATCTCTGGTCGGTGAAGATTTATGATTCAAAACCTGAGGACTCATTTACTATTTCGTTAATGAAACCTCCAACTGCAACGTCAGATGCACAATATGTCCAAGAATTTCTGGAGTCATTCTCCTTGGAAGACAGAGTATTACAGCCAGGTCAGACCCTAACAATTTGGTTGTCTTGCAAGCCTAAAGGTATTGGCTTGCACACATCAGCTGTGCACTTCAGTGTTGGGGATGACACAATTGAGCGACTTGTTTTTGTCATGGCTGAAGATAAGGTATCCCAATTTTTGGCTTCTAACAGGCCATTTAACAGAATCAGGAAGAAAAAGCACTCAGTCACTAAAGTGTTTTCTGCTGAACCATTTATTGGGGGCTCGCGTCCTATAAGGTCTCCAAACCGAGGGTTCAGATACAGGCTCCATGCATATCCAGTTCCCCAGCACATTAGGAACTCGATTGAGCAGCAGCAAATCCCTGATGCTCTAGGAGATGGTCTGACAAAAGAGAATTATTTTTCATACTTTCAGACCTTGCTAGCCCTAGAAGAGATCAAAATGGAGGTCTGAATCCAAATATTTTATGCTAATAAATTGTTTTTTTTCTTCAACAAATGCTAATAAATTGTTCATGTGGTTGGTGTTGATGCATTTTCTTTATTTTCTTCAGGAGGATATGAGGGACTTTGACATGGAGAGTGTTACTATGACAAGTAAGGGATTCCAATTTTTATGCCTCAGTGTCCCAGGACTAGCAGAGAGAAGGCCTTCGCTTGTTTATGGAGACTGTGTATTTGCTAGACCTTCCTCAGTTCATGCAACCAATACCCCCCCTTATCAAGTATGCTGAATTTTCACATGATTATTTACTATGCTGGATTTACTTGACGATTATATTTTCAAGTATTTTTTAAAGGATATTGCGGTACCTAGGATTTAATGCTAACAATTTATTAAGAATTTTTGGAGATGATCCAGCTCATTTAAATTGCCTTTAGACCAGAGACAAATATGTGTTGGAGATTTTGTAAATTTAGCAACTACTTGAAAATTCTCATAGCCTGTCTTGATTAGAGTTATCACTTAGAGACATAGAGTGTGTTGATTGGCGTTAAAAAATTTGTTATGTTTGTGACACCGCAGATAGTGGTGGCTTCTCAGTCTCCAATATGTGAACACATGCAACATCTGGTACTTTCTGTGTTTGATTAAATGCTCTGAACTTGCATCGCTCAAACTTTGAATGGTTATTTGAACAGGGTTATATTTACCGTGTTGAGGCTGAAGAGGTTTATCTGAGGTTTCGGGATGATTTCCACTCAGATCATAGGCCTGGAAATCTTTATGATGTGCAGTTCACGTACAACCGTACTCGTGTGAGAATGTTATATCAAGCCATCAAAGCTGCAGAAACTTTGGAGATGGAACTTCTCTTCCCGTCTGTATCCCATCAAGCAAGACTAATTCAACCAACTTCACTGGTGCCTATATCCTGTATGCTTAATCCAGAGCAAAGTAGCACCATTGAGATGATCCTTGGCTGCAGGGGAGGGTCTCCTTATGTAATTCATGGACCTCCAGGTACTGGTAAAACAATGACCCTAATAGAAGCCATCCTCCAACTTTATGCTAAGCGCAAACATAATCGAATTCTAGTCTGTGCACCTTCAAACAGTGCTGCAGACTATATTCTTGAGAAACTCATAACTGAGGAGGCAGTCCAAATTCTGAAAAATGATATCTTCAGGCTGAATGCAACTACACGTCTTATAGAGGATGTTGATCAAAACTACAAAGACTTTTGCTGTATTGAGGATGCTGTTTTCAGGTGTCCCATATTGAGTAGGCTCAGGCAATATAGGATTATTGTATCAACATATACAAGTGCCTCACTCCTATATGCAGAAGGCATCAAGCGAGGCCACTTCTCTCACATTTTTTTAGATGAAGCAGGCCAAGCTTCAGAACCTGAGACGATGGTTACTCTTGCCCACCTTTATCAAAAGAAAACAGTAGTTGTACTTGCCGGGGACCCAAAGCAGCTTGGTCCTGTAATCTACTCGAAAATTGCTGAGAGTTATGGATTGGGAAGATCATACTTGGAAAGGCTGTTCGAATGTCAGTTATATAATGATGGGAATAGAAGCTATATTACCAAATTGGTTCGAAACTATCGGTCTCATCCAAAAATTCTGTACCTTCCATCAACCTTGTTTTATGGGGGCGATTTGATCTCATGCAAAGAAAATGATGGAAACTTTATACTGCCATTATTGGACCTACTACCTGACCAGAACTTCCCTTTGCTTTTCTTTGGTATCCAGGGTTGTGATGAGAGAGAAGGGAGTAATCCGTCATGGTTTAACAGAATTGAGGCCAGCAAAGTAGTTGATATCATTATTCATTTGATTGATGATAAAGGGCTTCATGAGGAAGACATCGGGGTTATAACTCCTTACAGGCAGCAAGTTCTCAAAATAAGAAACGCACTTGAAAGCTTTAATAAAACCAAAATCAAGATTGGTAGTGTTGAACAATTCCAAGGGCAAGAGAGGCAAGTGATCATTGTGTCTACTGTCCGATCCACAATTAAACACAATGAGTTTGACAAGATCCACTATCTGGGATTTTTAAGCAGTCCTAGAAGGTTCAATGTGGCTATTACCCGAGCAAGATCTTTGCTTATATTGGTTGGGAATCCACATATCCTTTGCAAGGTACTTTTTAAGCATTTTTAATTTGTATATCATTCTGATTTCAGATAAGCACAAGAAGTATGCTGTTAAAAGTAATGTGCATTACCACTTTCCTGGTTTGCTTGTTTTCCTTCTGTTTGCCTATTGTACAAATGGTTAGTCTGCCTGCTTCCAACCACCCAAAGGTTCATGGATAAATACCCAAAGCAAATGTCCCCTTGAACTATGTACACACTCGAGGAGTCTTAGGTGATGAATGATCATTTCAGTTTTGCCAAGGCAGTTTTCCCTGGGTTTATGTATTCACATGTTTGAGGTATTGACAGGATGGTCATTGGAACAAGCTTTTATGGTACTGCTCAGACAACGATTCCTACAAAGGTTGCTTCTTACCAGGCAAGGAGGAAGATGTCAAAGAGCAAACTGTCCCAGTGAATTTTGATGGAGAATACAGTGCCTTCCAGCCGTCTGGGGATGTGGAATGGGGTGAGATTGTCCAACCATCTGGGGACGTGGAAGGGGAGCAACCTGGGGAAGTGGGTTGCTCTGGCAACTTACAGCCGTCTCGGGCGGTGGAATGGGGTCACAATTACTTCAATACAGAAGAGATCCCAAAGCCTGTAACAGATGAAGCTGAATGGTCTGATGGCTGGAAATAACTGGATGCCTGACAAGAGTTGAGCATGTATAGCAGATGACCACAAGCTGGTACAATATGGATTAAGTGACTTCTGAATTTTATTTTATTTTTTATACATGTGCTTGGCTTGAAGTCTCGAAGAAAAAACTACCCAAGATGAATGTAATTTGTAGTAGTTGTTTCTGGAATTTTTGGATACACTTGCCAAATATATTCTGACTGGAAAAATTTTGTTGAATCTGCTCATCAACCATCAAAATTTTGGAGATGCCTTGCACAGAACAAAATGTTAAGAGGCATTAGCAACAATTTCTTGGGGAAATATTTTTGTGCAGCATTTTGCTTTATTTTGATAAGCACACATTTGCTAGCACTCGATAAAAGCAATAGCATCTAAGCCAGTGGGGTCTTTTCCAAAGGGTAACATGAAATAAGAAGCGTTATGGCAAGTACAACAGTCATGTATCCTGCTCTGAAAATGCCCCTCCATTTTCAAATTCGTCTCTGAGTTTTTTATTTGCCTTTTGTTTAATCAAATTGGTTAGCAGATTAACTGTAGCTGCAACTTTAAATGGAAGCCCTGGAATTAAATTGGCCCACCAAACCATAGAGAACAATTGAAAGTTTAAAGTGTAACATCATTGGAAATCCATATAGGCAAAGATTGATTTCATTTCAGGTGATCGCCTTATTCATGCTTTCTCAAGTTGCTAATACTCGGAAAATCAATCGAAGTTTGTCAAACATACAGAAGTCAGAATTTGCCTGCCATACAATTCACCTTAGCTGTGCAATTGTTGCTATACTCACCTTGTGGAACTATTCTATACAATCAAGATCTTAATCAAGATGAGAGCTATGTATATCAAGTCAATGTAGGAACAACAACGTCCGCAACAACCATGATGAGAGCGAGCAACCAGGCAGACTCGCTATTGGTACCACTAGTGGAAAAAGGTCTCCATGAGGGTAGACGTGGTGCTAACCTTGGTTCTGGATGCGATCCATCAGGAGCGGTTGGAGTGTCTGAATCGGCAGGTACGGAAGTGTCTGAATAGGAAGGTGCTGGACTATCTGAATCAGCAGTCGACTCCTCTGAGCCTTGTGTGAAGTTGATTGCAGGAGGTGTTGGACGGTTCACAGGACCTGCAAATTTATACAGAGAAAAAGCAATATTTCATGTTCCTGTAGACTCTGCTGATTTAATATTCTTTGATATTTTGAGTTTCAACTAAGAAACCTAGATTCTGCTTATGAAATGACTGGTCCATAGCCATCTGCGTCTGTTTGTAAAGCAGTAATTATCGTCACAGCCTATCATGTCAAAGTCTCTTTTGTATCTCCATAGAAGTCCTAGGTTCTCTTCATTAGGCTTATACTGCTATTGAAACCAATTACTTTCGTGATTTACCAATCATGCATGACTAATTTCGGATTGATTGGTCCTATGCACGGTGTACAAAAAACATATATGAGCATAGAACTCTAGTCTTTGGAAAGAAAACTCCTAGCAAGACAAGTACTATGCTTGCTTTGATGGAACTAAATACAAGCGTTTTTAAAACTCTTTGTAAGTACAAAAATCAATAAAGCAGACAAAGAAAGCAATGCAAAGATGAGTCGATCTATAAGGTATCATCATTTCACAAATTACCAGAAAAGCTTGGCGGCGAGTTTTCAGGACCAGCATCAAAAAGTGGCAGTTAAAAGTTTCAAGTAGCAAATTAATAGGCACCAAAAAAAAAAACAAACTGAGCAGAATGTAAAGAAAACAGATAGCAAAAGGAACGGTTTTTACCAGCAAATGAATAGACACAAATTAATACACAAGTAAGCAATGCAAAAATCGAGTCGATTTATAGGGTATCATCATTTCACAAATTACCAGATAAGCGTGGTGATGAGTGATCGGGACCTGCAGCAAAAAGTGACAGTCAAAGCTTTTAGTAGCAAATTAATAGACGCAATATAAAAAAAGAACGTAAAGAAACAGGAGCAGGGGAAGGGGGATTTTACTTGTAATGCTCTTTAAAGGAGGCAGAGTACGTGTTCCTGATCAAAACAGTTCAAGAAGGGGAAAACATCATTAGCGTTAAAGCAAAGTAAATAATAATACATAATTTAACGATAGCCCCAGTACTAAATTTCAATAACTTAGATTTGATGGGATTGAAAACTATACAACATGCACGAAAATGAACGGTCACCATTAGTACGTTGGATAGACAGGTGCTCCACCTTCTATTAACTACTGGAAATGAAGATCTAAGCCAATCATACTTAAGAATTGACTTGTCAAATCTTGTTCTAGTTTACAGTTGCATGCTTTTATTGATAATGGACATTTTCCTCCGAAGTCGAGAATAATGTATCTACGCAGAATTCAACCATCCAAAAATTACAGGAAATTGGTAAACTAGCATTAATTAATTACTGTAATTACTAAACTATTATGTAGTACTTTTATTGAAAATTATTAGCATAATCAACAATTATCAGAAATATTCCAAAAACACAAAAAAGAGATAATGCTTACCGGAACATAGAGAAGTAAGGGAGAAGTTAGTCTTGGTTCCATGATCTCTCGTCGGACAAAGAGAGGTAAGAGAGAGGACTTTGGTGGAGTTGAGAGGGAACCCGAGGAGGTTAGGCTTTTGAATGAGATAGCAGAAGCAGACGGCGCCGCCGGTGGTAAATGCGGAAATGACGTCATTGCAGCACTGACGAGAAGGTGAATTGGAGGTGTTGTTCGGAGATGAAGAAGTGTACGGCAGGCACTTTGAGAAGGAGACCAGTTCGTCAGAACAGTTCGCCGGAGCTGCTGGTGGTGGTGGTGCAGGAGGTGATCGTGGCGGAGAACGTGCTGCTTTTCTAGAATGCGGAGGAGGTGGAGACGGAGATGGAGGTGAAGGTGACAGTTTTGTTGTTGTGGCGCCGGAGGAGGTGAGAAGGAGGGCGGAGGTGAGGAGGAGGAAGAGGAGGAGGCCGGTGGCCATCTGTGAAGTTGGGGGATTTGGCATGTGCGTGTTTTGTGGTGTGCAAGTGTGTGACAGAGGTGGAAGGAAAGGCGGTTGGTTATTCTGTTTAGCGGGCCGTTCTGTATTTATAATTTTATATGCAGGTTAAATTTTTGGCGGGAATGGGAGGTTGCTGGTTTTCCAAAAATACCCTCACTCCTAATATTCCGCATACGCATTGTCAATTTTCCATTTGCCTTCTATCACTAAAATTATTGTTGTTTTAAGTAAATCAAATACTATCACAAATTGTCTGCTCGTCCGTGGGTGTGGATTGTGGAACAGGGAATTTTGCTGGACTAATTGTCAAAATTCAAAATTTAATGTCACAGCTCTTTTTTTTTTAAAAAAAAAAACTAAAATTATTGTCATTTTAAGTAAATCAAATACTATCACAAATTGTCTTGAAAGACATAACATTATTATGTTTCTTGTGGCAACAAAATTTTGAGTATGGTAATATCACTTGCAATGCATATCACAGCCTCGAGAGACGGTTGGTTAGGTAATAAGATGGAAGAAAAGAAGCAGAAAGTCTTCGATCCAAGATCTCCTATTTATAGTCACTTCTATCTAACCACCCAACCCAATCACTTATAGATGCGCGTGTGTGTGTGTATATATTCGTATGTGTTGCTTTACATTCAATCCTGAGATTCAAATCAATTTTGCGTTTATGTTAGCCAAAACGTTGTAATGATTAAATTCATGAGAATTTTGGGAAAAAAAAAATCTTGTAGTCAAATGATACTTAATACTCCATCTCTCATTATAAAATGAAAATTTGTATCAATGAGTCTCAACGTACGTTTTGTAGGTACTTATTTATCACTCTGTCTCTGTAATTGCAATTTCCGAATCTTTGTGTGAAACTTCATATTTTCTCGAATTGTCTATGTACAAGGGCTTTTTTCAGTGGGTGATAAGAAACAGGAGAAGGATTACACATTCTAGGACATAAGCGTCCTGAATCCGAAGTCTATTACCCGCTCGACTTCCATTCCATCCAAATTTTGCTGACAGTTATACCGAGGAAGATAGCTCCATTTCCTATAGGATTTCTCCAGTACAGATATCAAATTTACTACCTCCTTACAGGATGACAAACAAAGCAACAGGTAGCAAGAATCTTGGTCGTGGCAAAATATTGAATTTGTCTCCACCATGAGATTTCAAGTATCTTGGCTCAGGGATCAACAATATGGGATGAACATCGCTGCTAAGAATTGGTCGGCCTTCGGCCACTGATGAATTGTTGCCTGTAGAAGTTGGATTTCGTCGAATTTCATCCCTTTTTGGAGGTAACGGCACCGTGTTATCATCTGGAACAGAAGGTTGCATTGGGTCCTCTGGCCTTTCCGGTGGAAAATTCAATGCAGGCTCTGGAGTATTTGGTGTGGGAAATACCGGCAATGACTCTGCACATGTATAATCAAGAAAAAAACAAGAAAAGATGATTACTACAGAGGCATATCAAATATAGGAAGTCAAGAATCAGGCTGCTTTATCCTATTATCAAAGCTGAATTTGTATAAGCAAAATCACAGGTTGAGAATTTACTTTGACATTGAGTCAACGATGGGACTGATATGTAGCAGCTAGATAATTGAACTGATAGACTGATGCTTGGTAAAGGAGAGGATCTAAACAGCAAGCACAAGCAATAATAACCAGCTTGAACAGCATGGTTCAGGGTTTTGCAGCAAGGCTCCATTGAGGCTGTACTTCCATCTTGCTCCATGCATTTCTCAAAGTCTACGCCGAGGAGAGAGCATCCCTGAATTTGGGCATTTGCAAATTGGCATGACATACAAATCAGAATTGTTAAACCCCATATGAACCTTAAGGTATCCATTCAATGAGACAGTTCAATTTGGATTCCATCTCTTGGAAAGTATATAAGCATCTCCAAAGCTGCTCGTGAGGTATGGCATCCATTCTTTGTGCAAGGTGCTATGTACATGCATCTGACCTACTCAGTACATCAGACTCACGCCTTGTGAGCTTTCAACAGTTGCAAGACAGCACGAATACGGTGAGATTGAATCTACGATGCCAAATCACCAAATTTGATTTTTATGGGAAATAATTTTTGCTTGGCTAAGATCAAACCTGAGTAAAATTGAGTTCAGAAACTTAAGCGGTTGATTTGTCTAGGTGAACTTTCAGCATTGATTTAATTTGTGATTGAGCATATTTGATAATTGCAATAACAGATAAAATCTTTTTCTCGAACGACTTCCATTAGCATTTTCTTCGGTTGTTCTATAAAGTGGAGAGGGAATTTGCAGCACAATTTTATTAAACAGAAACAAGAATACAAGGACATGATCCAATAACTCCGCCGTGATATTACAAAAGAACAAAATGGGCATCAAAGCCTTCTGATACAAATATATATTTTGATCTCAGAAATCTGGAATGATTCAAAAAATGTCTGTTTACAAAATTGAGGTTACCCCTCAAGAGTGGAATTTATCATCTGGGGAGTAGATACTTGGATGAACATCAAATTGGAATCCCCAACTACGAAAAATTTTAAGGAGCATCAACTGGCAAATGCAATGAGAAGTCAATCAGGAACATCCGAAAGCAATAGCTCCAACTAATGCTAGCAGAAGAAGGTGTGGAACTCTTTGAGAAGGCTGGGCTGTTGACAAATCAGGTCGGACTCCTGGCGGTGTCATAGCTGGATATCCACCACCCTCAGGTGTCGATCCTGGAGGCGTTAGTGTTCCATCACCTCCCGCTCCTGGTGTATCTCCGGGAGGAGTTATTGTTCCATCACCTCCCGCTCCTGGTGGAGTAAGAGTCGGTGTATTAGGTTCTGGCAGCCAGGAAGGTGACAGTGGTTGATCCTCTGTTGGACCTGCAAATAAGGAAAGAATGAACTGATATTTCTTTCCATTGCAGGAAAGGTATTGTGGTATGAATGGTTTCTTAATTCTTGACCAGAGAAAAATTAAGTTTGAGTGCACAGAGTACGTCAATATAGCTATGACAATCACGATAAAGATGTCAAATTTAACCCTAAGTCCAACGTATATGTCATGCAAAATCAGGATACTCCATTAAGTTTGTTATAATAGAACCAAAATATCAGAAAAGCCTTTATGTATGGGACCTGGAGCTGGAATAGGTGCACCAGGCAAGCCTGCAAATCAAACAAAAAATATTTCTATCAGAGGAGAAAAAGCAAGATGAGAAATACAGAGAAAAATTCATCTTCTTGGAACCATTTGAACTTCCAGTTTCCTGAACCTTACCTTTGCATTCAATGGGCACACCATCTGTATTACAAGCACGTGGAAGAGAAGCTGCGAGGGTTTGATTAATTGGTACATGAAGAGGAACTCCCCCAGTGACCATAAGGCAGAGACAATCTCTGCCACTACTCATGAGGGACTTGAGTGACTGACAACAATCTGCAGTTGGTGAACTTCCAGATCCACCAGTAATGAAGTTCGTACAAGGGGCGAAGCTACGAAGCATCAAACCCGTGCATGATGTATTGGTTTGGCCGTGCACTGGAAGAAATAGGAGCAAAAAAGCAATAGCTATAGCTGCATTCAAGTGTGGAGAAGTTTTTAATCTCTCCATTTGTGTTCTTTATTACTACAAAACTGTCGGAGCACTAGAGCTAGCTAAGTAGGATATATGCAGCTATTGGTATTGGCTAACAATTCGCTGTTGGGTATGGGGTGAATGGTGATGGAATTTATACATTGATTGAGAATTTGAGTGGAGTTTATGAGAAAAGGAGGCGAGAACACGTAGAGTTGAGGTCGGTTCAAGACTCAACTACCTTAACTAACTTGGTAAAAGGATTGGGGTTTAGGTGACCTTGCTGAGTTTAAACCTAGTTGTCCATTTTCCAAACTTTCCAAGAAAATAATTTAGAAAAACACAAAAGGCAAACTCCTCCTCGCTTGGAAATTTGTTAAGGTCCTGTTTGATAATTCAATTTAACACTTAAATTTAATATATTCAATTGTAATTGATAACTAAAAATAAAACATCTGAATTAATTAAATTGCACTGAATTTTTTAGGCAAAACTTGGTCCAAAAAATAAGTGATAAGTGAATAACTTATCACTTAATGTGATATATACTCAAATTTATCAAATTTAATGTTTAGCTATTCAATAATTTAATGAATTTAGACTTTAGATTTCAATTTTTAATTTTCAATTTTCAATTTTTTCAAACACATCCTAAAAACCTTGATAGAAACTTGCCTTCCCTGCTATAGGTGCCTCGTTTTGCTTTCTCATTCCATTGGTGGAAAAATAATAGGAGCCAAATGTTTGGCTATAAATCTATGTATTTTTAGTTCAACTAGATTGTGGTAGGATAGGGTAGTCCACACAGCATTAGTCCTCAAATCATGGCCACTAAATTAAGTCAAAGTTTACCCAAGTTATTAGTATTATAATTGTACAACGTACCATAATAGAATACGTGGCAATTCAGAGAATGAATTTAAACTACCCTGCATTCTTAGTTTAATTATTTTTCAAATATACTTATGAACATTTATTCTTTAGTTCTCCATGATAACAAAATATTCCAGAAGTTGTTTTGTAGAAATTTCAACAACTAGAGCATTTCTTTTCCCTGGAGAGCTTAATCCTTAAATACAAAACCTACAATTTATGTTCATACAAGTTAGTCCTATGAGAATACAATCCAAGAAATTAGAATTTAAGTTTATATAGAGAATTATAATTAAAAAAAATAGTACTATCAATGGGGCGGGGCCAACCTGAGCTCGGCTTGTTTGGCTCGAAAAAAAGTCCGATGAGTCCAACTTTTTAGTGAGCTGGTCTGAGTTTGGCCCTAAAAATAGATCTGAATTAAACATAAGCTAAACTTGGGCCTCATTAGGCTCAAATCCGATATAGGTATGACCCTTTAATTATCTATATATATAATGATATATATATAATATTTATATTTTGATATTATATATAATTATATATTCAAATATGTTATTACTAAATACTAAATATATACAAATTACAAAACACAAAAATGCATATGAAGATTCCTCTATTAGTTTTCTTGAGAGCCAATATTGGTAATGCATCACTAAAACTCTAACTTTTCTTATTGATTGAGTAAATTTTTATGTTGGCTTAGTATTGGTTGATTTCTTTTTGGTATAGAAACACAAATCATCAAGTATATTTGGATTTAAGTTACAAAGTTATAAAGAAGTTCCAACCTTTGAAGATGTATTGGCTTATGATCACATGTTTCATTACTATTTTTCATGTATTTTGAACAAATTAGATATAAATATTGTTGAAAATTTTTTATTTATGTAATTTTTTAGAACTATCACTTGTTTATGTTTAATTTTAATGTTGTAATCTTGTGAATGTTAAATTAATTTTACAACTTAATAGTTATAGTAATTATATTACGAAAATTGATGAGTAATAAATGAGTTTGGGTTAAACCCGAATAAGGTTCAAAATCCGAATATTTTGTGAGTTGAGTATGATTTTCACATTTATTAACCCGAATTTCATGGCCCGAAATCTGAAAGTATTACAAATTAAATGAGCTAACCCTGAACTTATGATACCCCTACTCATATGGTCCGATTAACATGCCTACGAAAAACAAATTGAAATAGAAAGTCCATATGATGTTTATTAATTGTGTTTGCCAATGGATTGAAAATTCAAAGAATTTAAATACATCTTGCAAAAAAGAATTAACAAGAGGGCTAAGGGTCGCCATCATGGCTAATTGGATTGCAAGCCTGGCTTTTAGGAGTACTTGTGCTTCTGGCTTTGTAGAAAATGTCGAATATATGTAACGTTTATTTGCGCCTTTAACCTCGCAACCGCCGGAGGCATGTGAATTCCTGTTGTTAAAGGATGGAATTAAACCCACGCCTTAGCATGCTGGGCTGATGAAAGCGTTAACAACTCACACCACGCCTTCAGATGTTAGGCCTCATGAAGTTTCGAAGACTTTTCCCTTCAGAGTTTTAAAGAGCCATCTTCTTAATTTACAGTTTTTTTCAGTCAATGGTGATGCAAGAAGTAAGCTCTTCCCTTTATTTTCCTAAGTTAACTGTGTTCAAACAAAAACTCCTTTGGTTTTGGGGAAAGGAAACAGAGATATCTGTAGTTATATTCAACTCATATATTTGGTGGATCTGATTTTGAGGTGTTTGACTTGGAAAAGATGGACCAAAACTGCAATGGCGCTTTTGGATGTATGATTAGGGGCGCATCAAATTTGAGGCTAGGACTGATATAGCTGTCTTTGAACCATTATGGCATTGTGGCTAATGCATAAGCAATGACAAGGATCATTTCTTTCTTATATTTGTGAACTTTCCAAAGGAGAGGAAAAAAAGAAGGCAATAGAAAAAAGAAAAAGGAACTTTGAGCTCGTACGTCCGCTGGCAAAAAAGATGGACAGAAGGATCTGATATTTTCTCACAATGAATAGCGAACTTTCAACTCCACAACTATAATAATTATACAAATCTAAGGCAATAATCTATAATACAAAGAATAACAAGTGCTCAATCGACTTGACAAAATGTGCTAGCATCAGATCAATAATTCCTCAGGGCAATTGCTCCGATCACAGCTAGCAGAAGCAATGGTGAAAAACTCAGTGTTGAGGCAGCTGATGGGGTCAGAGACTGTCGGTTGCCTGAATTCCCTGCTGGAGATCCTGAATTTGTAGTTGAAGATGGTGGAGTCAAAGCTGGATTTGTTTCAGCCTCTGGTGCCAATGTTGGAGAGCCAGCCTGGGGAACCACAGAGCCTGAAAATCAAGAAATTAAACATATTTCAGCAGGGCATTTGTGGGCAAAAAAAACAATTTAAGCAAGGCATTTTCTATTTTGAATTTTCTACTCCTAATAGTTGGAATGTAATTACAGATTATACCACAAATTAGCAGCACTTAGTACCTGTAGGAGGAGCAGCTGCAGGTGACATAGTACCTGTAGGAGGATTAGCTGCAGGTGACACTGCAGGTCCACCAGCTAGAGGGCCTGTTAATCGAAAAACATCTCAGTAACCCCAAAGAATGGGGAAAAGAATTTTTTAAAAAAAGGCGGGGGGGGGGGGAACATTAACATAAATTCAAGAACTGTAGGTTACCTGGAGCAGGAATAGGTGCTACAGAGGCTGAAAATAAATATTGTGAACATATTCATTAGTAAATTGTGCAAATTCAATTGAAAAAATGGTACTGGCACGGAATTAGACGCGAGGTTGTGTTACCTTTGCACTGAAGGGGTACACCAGGCTGGTTACAGGTGCGGGGGAGGGAGAGGACGAGAGTTCGATTGATGGGAAGGTTGAGGGGAACGCCTCCAGTTGCAACAAGGCAGAGACAGCCTGTGCCGTTGGCCATGAATGCCTTAATTACATTGCAGCAATCTGCAGTAGGCGAATTCCCATTGGTGCTGCTATTGGTAATGAAATTCAGGCAAGGAGTGAAGCTGGTGAGCATCGAAGTTGTACAAGGTGAATTGATCTGGCCATAAACAGGCAAAGATAGAAGCACCAAGGCAATGGATAAAGCTGGAAATAACTGCTGGAGAGCCATGATTAGTTGCACTAGTATCTTATTGTGTCCTATTAATTGCACTGTAGGAAGAATGATTAGAATTGCTGATTTTGGCTGAGAAACTTGCTGTTAAAACTTGAGAAAGAGATCGATCAAAGAGGGGAATTTATAGGTGAGGATGAATGTTTTGAATAAAAAAAAAAGTGGGTTTTGAGTGGTTTTGGAGCTCAACTACCTTAACTAATCCTGTGAGAAGAACGGTAGATTAGGTGGAATTTGCTTGCTTGTCTGTTGCATGTTCCTCGTACCTTTAAACCTGTTTATGACGCATCAGATAACATTTTCATGTCCTATTCTGGGTTCTGATTGCCAGCGCGTTGATGAATTTTGGCCTAAGCCCCCGTTGATGGATATCATGCAGCAATTAGGATATCGTAAAGAGTTGGCAATCATTTTTCCAGTCAGATAGGTCCGTCGCCTATCCCTCTTCTTTTTCATTCTTGGTGGTAGAAACTAGAATCTAGAGAGAGATACTTTGCGTGCCAAAACTGTTCAAATGTTTGATATGTAATCAAATCTTAGTGGCTTAATTAAACATCCTTCATTTCCTTCTTTTCTTGTACTTCCCTTTTTTTTTTTCTCAGAAAAAAAAAGCGGACTTATTATATAGATCACACATTTATTTATACTTCTTGCACCTGTATATTTAAATGCTAACTCAAATTAATACATTCTTATAATACAAATTAATATTTGAATTTCCTCCTAAAAAGTGTGGTGCACCCGTGAGCTAAACCCTTATAGTATAAAACACAAGACAATCTTGGACGTTCTCTAGATAATTATTAGAGAACCTTCAGGCTCAAGTTCATCCGAGCACATACAACACTTGCAATTGGCGCTCATCCACTTGTGAACAGGGGCAAAGTCACCTTGATGTGTGACTGAGTAGGGCTGTCAACGGGTCGAAATTCATTATTCCGGACCCGGATCCGGCATACCAAATAGGATCCAAATTCGACCCGTTTATCCGACGGGTCTTCTACTCTATGTTCCGAATCCGTATCCGACAGGTCTCGGATCCGAGTCCGGGTCTATCTGAAAAAATTATGAAAATTTACAATTTCTAATAAAAATGAGAAAAAAATATATTTGTACACTAATTTCTAACTAATACAAAAAAAAAAACCAAATAAGAAAATAAATCAAATTGACTTTATTAAAATACATCACCCTAATCAAATTATATCGATAAATATACATATTTTAAATTATTAATCCATTTGTATCCGGATCTGGGTCTAATATGGGTCGGAATACTATATTCCGTAGCCGATCCATTTTTTTGTTTGACAAAACAGATCCGGATCTGGGTAATGGAATTAAATCCCTACCCATACCCGCAATAATTTTACGGATCCGGGCCTAGACCCGGACCGTTGACAAGCCTATGTGTGAGGGTGACCAATTGCCCTGCCCTTCTCAACTTTATAAAAATCACAAAATAAGCTTGAAAATTTTATAGTAAAATTTTTAGGTATCTTTCACATTTATATATAAAAAAATACGTATCTCTTGACATTGCCACCCTACAATTTAGAAAATAGTCATCTCTAAACGACCAATTTCTTTCTTTTAAGTATCTCTTTTAATGTCCAATTGTTTCAAAGCTATTAATTGAGACACATTTAATTACTAATTGAATGAGAAAATTTATATGAAGTAGAACAAAAATAAAAAAATTATTTCATTTAAGTGTACAGTCTTGTTTCCACTAAGGATGCGTTTGATAAAATTGAAATTTGAAAACAAAAATCTGATATCCGAATCGATTAAGTTATTGAATTATTAATTACTAAATCTAATATATTTAAGTGTATATCACATTAAGTAATAAGTTATTCACTTATCATTTATTTTTTAGAGCAAGTTTTGCTCCTGAAATTTATTAGTGCCACTTAATGAATTCAAATGTTCAATTTTTTTTATTATCAAACGCGTCTAAACAGTTAAAATTTGAATTAATTAATTTTAAGTGCTAAATTGAATTATCAAATGGAGTCTAAATCTAGGTCGTGACTCCGCGGCTAAAGTATAAAGCTTTTTTTTAATCTTTTCTTTGTTGATTGCCCATTGAAGAGCCAAGGGGACTATTACTACCCACTGACCAAATAAAAATACATAAACTGAGGAAGGGAGCCGAGCGAGTGGCAGAACATGCCCGCCGCATTTTGCAGGACAGAACGTGAATAAGCAGGGGAAAAAAAATAAAGGACCGGAGAAAATCAAACGTTTACCATCCTGCAGATGTAAGTAGCCATGCCCGCCGCATTTTGCATGCATTGACTGCTTCTTTTGTTTTTCTCCACTTGGTTCTTTTCCTCTTTTATTAGTATTTCGTTTAAAAGCTGGTCGGAGCATAGCCGCAAGAAGTTGAAGCTACTGATGCTGCTCCTACCCAAAGTTGGGTCGAGGAGTAGTTTACCGGTCAATTTTGCTGGCTTGGTTTTATTATTGGTCATCTTCTCCTTTGCATAATAAGGCCTACATTTCTTTATATTTGGTAAGATAATTTAGACGTCAGAGAGGCTTTGATTGATGTTTGTTTGGCACACGCATACCCTTCTAAGGTAAACGGGTAATACTTTTAATTAAGCTAATTAGCTTCCAGATTGATGCTCCTACCTTCACGTCATCATCCCTTACTCTAAATTTTCCCCGTTGAAAAAAGAACTTCCATATGAATTATCGAAGTCATAGGATGACAACAGTACTACTCACTTCTTTTCTCGTTTGGTTATCAAAATAGGGATATTACCCCTTAAGAGTCAAAATTTCACCAGCCTGGTAATGGTAGGTGCAAGTAAATGAGAAAAATACTATTACACCTTACTCCCTGCAATTTATCAAAATTTCAGTTTTTCTGTTGTTCTGGCCTTATCTTTTAATATGGCCCAAGAAGGTTGGGGAATATGAATATCTTCAAGAGACTACTGTTTCGTTTATGATCAGCCCGGATACATACATACACACATACACATACTTAAGTATATTCAGGAGCCCCAAAAAGGGCAGCATATATATATATATATATATATATATATATATATGTATATGTATGTATGTATGTATTGATATGTGGTCAGCAAGAAAAATTGAAGGATGAGCCAAATAGAATTGGAAAAAATAAATTAAAGTTACATTATGAGTAAACATGTTGTCTACATTGGCATGTAGACGTTCGATTTTTACAAGTGTGATTCTAAGGAACAAGAGTAGAAATCTGTGCAACTATGACAAACCTATATCTTGCTAATGTTTACTCTAATTGAATTAGGACGCTCTCCTATAGTTTACAGGATTCACCTGCCGGCTTAGACTCAATATTGTGTCAACAATGACACGTACTGTAGCTGGTTTGATTTAACAATCTTATATCTCACATCATATGCAGTCTTCTAGTTTACCAAATTAGTGTTCCCAGCCAAAATTGACGGTGAAGAAAAGAAAAAAAAAAGGCACAAAGCTAGCCCTGAAGCAATCAACCATCCATGCATGTATATAAAAGCTCTTCATCTTCACAGAACTTGACCACAGAAAACGCATAGTTTTGAACCAGAAATTCAAGTCCTTGATCACATCCATTGTACTACATATTAACTTTATACAACATCAAATGGCATCAAAAGGGATTGTAGCAATTAGCCTAGTCTTAGCCACGGTGACCATATTTTCAGCAGGAGGAGCCGTGGCTCAATCCAATTGCAACAATGTGATTATTACCATGTCTTCATGCCTTAACTATGTCACCGGACAATCCCCAACACCACCGGCTTCATGCTGCTCTGCACTTGCTAACGTTGTTCAAACCAATCCTCGATGCCTTTGTGCCGTGATCGATGGTGGCTCTCGATTTGGATTTACCATTAATTCCACACTTGCTCTTTCACTTCCTGATGCCTGCAAAGTGCAAACTCCCCCTGTAAGCAGATGCAATGGTAAGTTTACTAGCTGGGGTTGTTGTTCAAGGTTGATGTTGCATGTGGAATTGGTCTGCGTTTTTGAATTCTTCATGCATGTGTGTAACTGTTAAATGCATGGTATAGCTGCTAATGGACCGGCAGTGTCTGCCGTGGGTTCTCCAGAGACTTCACCAGGACCAGCTGGATCTGCTGATGGAACACCAGATTCCACAACCGACCCGTCTGTCACAGGTAAACTCTTAAGATTATAGCAGTACAAATTTTACGGATTTTTTTTTAATTTTTTTTGTGGTAAAAGGATCAAGACAATTTAAGTACTCATGAAACAATTTGTATTGTACTCTTCTACATAGAAATACCTCAAAATCTACATAACTATGCAACGGGATTTTATGGATTTAAAACTTTTGTGTTGAAGTACAAATCTCCTTTGTCAGTTTTGTTAACTTGTCTCTTGTATTTGTTCATTATGGGCCTGTGACGGAAACTAGTTATGCTGCTAAAGTTTGTATAAACTTCAAAACGTTTCCTCTACGTCCTAATGCATTTTATAATATCTAAAGAAAAATATTCGTCATGTATATATGATTATATACCACATACAACCAAGAAACAAAACATTTTTAAAAACCTACTTCTGTAAATTCTAGGATGTACTTGATTGGATTTCCTGTGTAAATTTCTGTCCTCTATCTTAACAAAAGCTGTTAATTCTTTCCAAGATAAAAAAAAAAAACTAGGAGTTTTCCTTTTAATCATGGACAATACTATAACTAATTAACAAATTCTCATGTTATATATGGCTAGACTCATATATGTCTGCATATATGCAACTATAATTTTGCAGGATCTAAAGCAACACCAGGCAGTTCTTCCAGTGGAAGCGTTGCACAGATGCACCTTCAACTCGTTGGCTTCCTCCTGCTCTTGGTTTCATCATATGTTTCCAAATTGAGCTGCTTCTAAGTCTGATTACAACTAAAATTAAAGATGGGGAGTGATACTTATATAAGATGCCTAGCTAAATAAATCCAGCTATTTTGTGGTTTATACTTGAGATGGTTATTGCGTGTAATTGTGTAACATCGATAGATAGAGTGCCTGTTTGTTCTGTTTACCATTTCCACTATAATTTTGTGTTGGGTTGAAACTAATTACTACACTATATTTAAACAACAGTGCTGTATTAATCCGTCTTTAAGCCCACCTTGCATGGATTACATTACATATTTACATTATATATATATATATATATATATATATATATATATATATATATCTCTCTCTCTCTCTCTCTCTGAGGGCTAGCTATCGATCCTCGCTACGACAAAAAGAAAAAAAAATCATATTTTAGATGGACATATTTTACATGAAATGTGTTGCACGTTATAGTCAATTTTTTTCTTTAATTTTTTTTTTCTACCACAAGAGAAGTAGAACTTAAAAAGTCAGAAAATGAGTAAAGAAATTTG